TTACCACATATTAGAGCCCGCCCGCCTAACCACTACACCAAACTGGCCCTCCAAGAAGAGAAAGAAGAAGAGATCGAATTTATATCCCGCCCTTCACTTGGCCTTGAGAGGACAGCTCCAAGGGAACTTGTGACTGACCCGAGGTCACACTAGCAGCTGCATGGGGAGGAGTGGGGGCTCAAACCCGGTTCTCCCAGATTAGAGTCCGCCCGCCTAACCACTACACCAAACTGGCCCTCCAAGAAGAGAAAGAAGAGATCGGATTTATACCCCGCCCTTCACTTGGCCTTGAGAGAACAGCTCCGAGAGAACTTGTGACTGACCTGAGGTCACACCAGCAGCTGCAGGTAGAGGAGTAGGGACTCAAACCCGGTTCTCCCAGATTAGAGTCCGCCCACCTAAACACCACACCAAACTGGCTCTCCAAGAAGAGAAAGAAGAAGAGATCGGATTTATACCCCGCCCTTCACTTGGCCTTGAGAGGACAGCTCCGAGGGAACTTGTGACTGACCCGAGGTCACACCAGCAGCTGCGTGCGGAGGAGTGGGGGATTAAACCCGATTCTCCCAGATTAGAGTCCGCCTGCCTAACCACTACACCAAACTGGCTCTCGAAGAAGAGACTGTATACCCCACCCTTCACTTGGCCTTGAGAGAACAGCTCGGAGAGAAGTTGTGACTGACCCTGTCAACACCCATGTGTTCTATAAGTCTGGCTGTAGATCATATCAATCTGACAGGAGCTGACAGCTCAGGGTGTCAGTAGAGCTGGCTCCAACAGGTTCTGTCTAGTTGATAGCGGAGCTAACAGTGACTCAGCATTGGGTCCTGATTGGACAATGCTAGTATAAGTATGATGCTGTACTGTGTACTTTGCCTTCCTGATGGAAACCTGGTGTCTGAGTGAGCATTTTGTCGTTCTGTGCAATATATTGGTGGAGGCTTGTGTAAATAAATTGTATATAGTTTTACACCAAGCCTGTAAGACTTACGTCTTCTTTGATACTCTCACACCACTCGCAACCTGCAGTGGGCTAGCACCGCGCAAACCTCGACAGGCCCGAGGTCACACCAGCAGCTGCACGCGGAGGAGTGGGGGATCAAACCCGGTTCTCCCAGGTTAGAGTCCGTGCTTTGGCTTTTGTCTTGCTCTACCTGTCACCTCCCAAGAGCCACCTCTGAGAGGTGGGAGCTCCGGCATCAGCTCAGCCACCCCAAGAGTTCACAGTCCTGGAACGGACATACGAGGTCTATGGATATGGGAGGTTCAAGCGACCGCCACTCACCCACTGGCCCTTCCCAGCCAAGCGGCATTCATTCCGATGGGTCGGTAGTGCAGGCCAATGGATCTGGAGAGAAAGGCAAAGGCAGGCTTAGGAAACGCAAAGCGGGCCTGACCCGGAAAGCCCCGGGAAGCCCGATCCCATCAGACCTTGGGAGCCAAGCAGGGCCGACCCTGGCAAGGACTTGGAAGGGAGACCTCCGAGGAATACCAGGGCCGGGACGCAGAGGCAGGCGACAGCTATCCACCTCTCTGAAACATCCAAACAAGCCCCACTGGGGGTTGCCAGAGGTCAACATGACTTCCAGGCATGCAAGCAAAGCAAGAAAGCAAGACAGCGAGCAAGAGAGAGAGAGAGAGAAGAGAAAAAAGAGAGAGAGAAAGAGATAATGAAAGAAAGGAAGGAGAGAGAGAGAGAGAGAGAGAGAGAAAGAATGAGAGGAATAAAAAAAGAGCAAAGGAGAGAAAGAGAGAAAGAAACCTGAGAAAGAGAAAGAGAAAAGAGAGAAAGAGGAGAGAGAGAAAGAAAGAGATAATGAAAGAAAGGAGAGAGAGAAAGGAGAGAAAGAATGAAAGAAAAAAGGAGCAAAGGAGAGAAAGAAAGAAACCAGAGAGAGAGAAGAGAAAAGAGAGAGAGGAAGAGAGGAGTGAGAGAAAGAAAGAGATAATGAAAGAAAGGAGAAAGGAGAGAAAGAGCAAAAGAAACCTGAGAAAGAGAGAGAGAGAGTGGATGAAGTGGAGAAAGAGCACACCCTTTGGCCTTCCCTAGAATTTCGGTCCCTTTCCGACTCCCAGGGACCAGCCTCCAACCCCGGTCTACTGTGTCTCACGACCCTGTCTTGTTCTCTAGGGTTGCCAAGTCTGGGTTGGGAAATTCCTGGCTACTTGGGGGTGCAGCTTGGGGAGGGTGGGGGGATTTGTGGAGGGGAGGGACAAGGGTTGCCAAGGGTGGAGTCCTCGAGACACCTCACCAGGGCTTAATGCCAATACAGTCCACCTTCCAAAGCAGCCATTTTCTCCAGGAGAAGCAGAATAGAATGGTAGAGTTGGAAGGGACCTTGCAGGTCATCTAGTCCAGCCCCCTGCACTCTGCAGGAGCATAGCCAAAAGATAGCCCTACAACATACCCAAAAGATGGCCGTCCAGCCTCCGCTTGAAAACATCCAGCGAAGGAGCATCCACCACCTCCCGAGGAAGACTATTCCACTCCTCAACCACTCTTACAGTCAGGAAGTTTCTCCTGA